CACATTCATCTCCTCTTTGCAACCTTGCAACCCCACCACGCTCCTCTCACCCAGTTCCACCGAGACCCACCACGATTTCTCCCTGGTCGGGATCTTCGAGGGGTTTTAAGCCGATATCCTGCTGTACTCCCTCTATGGCAATGCAGGACGCCTACCTGATGCCTACCAGTCAGGCCGGCGGTCGTCGGACCAGCGCCGATTATCGACCCAGCATAAAAAAGGCCCAGGGCCATGTCCCCGCGTGCCTGGTCAATGCCTCGGTGACGTACTGCAGCAATGATCGCATTTATGCGTTCGGGGGTTTTGACCAGTTTACTGATGAAGGTTCACATCACCTTAGCTATAATTCTAAAATGGCACTAATGATTTTTAGTTTACAACCACGTGCTCCGGCTGGACTTGGAGACTTTGCGCTGGGAGCTCGTGGACAACTATGGCGATATCCCCGGAGTTCGCATGGGTAATGATTCTCTCTTCTCATTCGTCCATGTTTAGTGATAAACACTCTGACTGAAAATCTTATTTTTTATAGGGCATACGGCGACATTGTACCAAGGGGATAAATTGATTGTGTTTGGAGGCGAAAATGAGCATCGCGAATACCTCTCCGACGTTGTCATCCTTGATCTCAATACCTTCACCTGGGCACTTCCCGAAATTCGCGGGTCGATCCCGCGTGGCCGAGCCCGCCATGCTGCCGTTATTCATGAAGACAAGCTTTTTATTGTGGGTGGAGTGACAGGGGTGGGAGGTGTGACAGGGGAGAAGAATGTGATATTGGATGATTTGACCTATTTGGATCTACAAACATGGACTTGGTCTCGGACATGGAGCTTCACTGCTCGCTTCGATCATACAGCTTGGGTTTGGGGCACACGGCTGTGGATATTTGGTGGATTGGGTCCGAACATGGAACGGACTACTGATATCTGGTGGCTCGACCTCAAGGGATCTCCTTCATTGGCCGGAAACACCACTCCCCAAGGTAGCGTCAACTCCCTGGGCATCAATCTTTCGAGGGCTTATCTCCCAGACTCTATATCTAGTCCTCATCAAATGTCTCCCCGCTCCGGAATCTACGCTGCCAATTCAGGCAGTGTGCAGGTACGCAATTTGGGTCGACGCAAGCCAGTTGCGCCCGGTGCCATATCTTGTCTTAGGTTTGATTCTGGTCCTCATGTCCCCTCCCTGTTTTCTGGTACTCATTTTCATTCATTTGCCTCCGGTGTCCTGCTCGACCTAATCACGCCGTCGGAGACCGTACGGTCGCATGATTGTAACCTGTCGGCTCTGGACCTCAACTCGCTACGCTGGCAACGGCTGGCTGATGGTCAAGAGATCTTCCGGCCGGGATATCGATGGCACTACTGCACGGTCAATGACACGGGAACCAAAGCATGGCTCTTGGGATGTAGTCTTGATATCGCAAATGTGCCAGGAGGAAGCGACGATAATCATATGAGTGAAGTCCTGACTATCGATTTGGAAAAGTATGGTTTGCTAGGTAACGGCCTATCGTCAGAACCTCCCGAACAAGGTGCACCTTGGCCGTCAGATCCAATGGGCTCCTCTCAGGTTTCCGGGCTCGGGACCGATCTAGCCGCTGTTTTCGACGAACCCCCTGAGTCTCGAAGTGGTACGGACTTTGTCATCACTGCTATTCGTGACGATCATGACGGGTCCATATCGGAAGATATGGGTGACACGCCGTCCGTTTCCCCAACCCAGACCCAGCCGACCTTTGTGGCACAGAACCGCTGGACCTCAGAGCCCATCCATGTCCATCTTATCATTCTCCGGGTCAGGTGGCCACATTTCAAGCGCCTGTACTCCGCCCAGATGGCTGAGTACCACACTAAGCGGATGCACATCCCCGAGCCTTATTCTGTCGTGCGCGCGTTTCTCTACTACCTGTACACGGACAGTATCTCCGGCCATCCAGACTATTGCTTGAGTGCCATCGATGTGGCGGGTATGCTTGTTATGGCCAATCTTTATGACATGCCGAAGCTTCGCCTGCTGTGTGTCAATAGGTTAAGCCAAGAGCTTGACGTAGACAACGCGGCCATCATTTGGGAACGTGCGGGGCGAACCAATGAGCACTGGCTGATGCGCCGAGCAGCACAGTTTTGCATGACATACTGGGGCCGCGTGGTACGGACAGACGGGTTTAAATCCCTCAGCCACCAGAGTTTGATTCAACTCTGCGAAGTGGTGGATACAGAAGGTCGCGTCTTCGCAGGGCCTGAATTGGAGATGGTCACATTTGGAGCAGATTGCCTAAGTGACCGAGATAAGACCTCTCGAATGCGGCTGGGATCTACTGCGGATGAGATGTCCGAGGCCGACGCAGACGATGAAGGGATGGAGATCTCATGAAATGCATGAATTGCATGAAATTGCGAATTGCACGAATGGGGCACGCATTATATTCCGGAGTTCTTGGCGGATCATTTGTTTATTAGGTTGTATTGTATTTACATCCATCTCTACCAGTTTTGAATATACTTCTTCCACTTCTTTGTGATCGGCCGTCCAACCGCTCTAGGGCTGGCGTTGAGCCCATTCGTCATGAGATGTGGAGCCTCTCGACGCTCTCGACGCGGACCTCAGTCCGGATCGCGGAGGTCATTCCTGTCACGATAAGGAGCTCTCCATAGTGGTAGACTCACTGGATTTCAAGAAGATAAAAATAAAATAGAATTAGATAAATATTGATGTGCGCTCGAATTCGAAACAATCCGATTACACGGCTTCTACAGTTCCTCCTTTGATTAACATTCATTCACTTCACCATGGGATCCAAGCAATCCACTTTTCCTTCGGATTTCCTCTGGGGGTTTGCTACAGCCGCATACCAGATTGAAGGAGCAGTTAACGAAGATGGCCGCGCCCCATCGATATGGGATACATTCTGCAAGATCCCCGGCAAGATTGCCGGCGGCGGAACTGGAGATGTAGCTTGCGACTCGTATCACCGCACACACGAGGATATCGCCTTGTTGAAAGAATGCGGTGCTCAGGCATACCGATTTTCCCTTTCATGGTTCGTCTTTCTTGTGTTCCTTGCCTCGAGTTTCAATCTTTAGGAAGATTTTAACCAGCTTGTCAAAATCTATAGGTCCCGCATTATCCCACTCGGCGGCCGCAACGATCCAATCAACGAGAAAGGCATACAGTTCTACCAGAAATTCGTGGATGATCTGATTGATGCGGGTATCACACCTATGATTACCCTCTTCCACTGGGATCTTCCGGATGAGCTCGACAAGCGCTACGGTGGACCTCTCAATAAGGAGGAATTCGTTGCCGACTTTGCACATTATGCCCGTGTTGTATTCGAGGCTTTTCGTTCCAAAGTTAAGCACTGGATCACCTTTAACGAGCCTTGGTGCAGTAGTGTTCTTGGGTACAACAACGGTTCCTTCGCTCCGGGTCACACAAGTGATCGCACCAAGAGCGCGGTGGGAGATAGCTCGACTGAGCCGTGGATTGTCGGTCATAGCTTGCTGGTTGCCCACGGAGCTGCGGTGAAGATTTACCGCGATGAGTTCAAAGAACGGGACGGTGGTGAGATTGGCATTACGCTGAACGGTATGTTCCCATTATCCCTGAACATACAGAGCCTTTTACTAATCAAATCATCGACTAACTAGGTGACTGGGCCGAGCCCTGGGATTCGGAAAACCCAGCCGACGTAGAAGCCTGTGACCGCAAGATTGAGTTCGCTATATCATGGTTCGCAGACCCCATCTACCACGGCAAGTACCCAGATAGTATGATCAAGCAACTTGGCGACCGCCTGCCAACCTGGACTCCAGAGGACATCGCCCTTGTCCAGGGCAGCAATGACTTCTACGGCATGAACCACTACTGCGCGAACTTCATCCGCGCCAAGACAGGAGAGCCGGATATCAACGATGTCGCGGGTAACCTGGAGCTCCTGCTCGAAGACAAGAACGGCGTGAGTGTCGGGCCGATCACACAATCGCCTTGGCTGCGACCATCTGCTATCGGATTCCGAAAACTGCTCGGATGGCTCAGTGAGCGGTACGGCTATCCCAAGATATATGTCACCGAGAACGGGACTAGTGTCTTGGGTGAGAACGATATGCCGCTTGAGGAGCTGCTCAATGATGAGTTCCGCGTGCAGTATTTCCGGGATTATATCGGTGCTGTGGCTGATGCGTATACCCATGACGGGGTTAATGTGCGGGCGTACATGGCTTGGAGTCTTATGGAGTATGTTTTGAGCTTGGTTCCTCGATGGTTTATATCCGACTAACTTTTTTACTTACAGTAACTTCGAATGGGCTGAGGGCTATGAGACTCGCTTCGGTGTTACTTTTGTCGACTATGAGAATGACCAGAAGAGAATCCCAAAGAAGAGTGCCAAGGAGATTAGCCGGATCTTCGATCGGTTGATCGAGAAGGCCTGAGATAGATGCGGCGCTGATTGATAATTACGCTGGTAGACTCCGAGGACTGCTATGGTACCTAGATTCTATACGAATTTTTGAAGGCATATGATATTTCATTCTCCAGTTATGCCGTGAGCTGTATTGTTCGGTACGCAATATAGAAAAACAGAGATGAAAGGAGGTACAGTATGAAGTAGCTGCCCTTGTGGACTGGGAAGCGGTTGGATGGTATCGGAATACTCCCATATCTTCCCCCTCTTGCAGTGGATTGACGACTGGCCAGCATATGTTGAGAAGATTGTCGATCCTTTGCCGCTGGAGGGTGCCATGATGCGGGTTGTCTTTAATGATCTAGAATTTTAGAGCGAGATAACAACATTTGTCGATCTTGATTGTTATTTGCTCAAGCTCAAGTCACGGTCCAAACTAGAGCTTGATAGCCAGGGATTCAATAATGCTCCAAGAAGGGCTGATTTTATTTACTTTAAATGAGTTGATTAAGCCTTGCCAAGGAGTAAAGCTGATAATTCCACAATATAATTGATAGTGATCGACTTTCGCGAGTCTCTATCTTTTCAATTACATATTTATGATCGAGACCCATACTTTATCTTCCTGAGGCCAAAGTTCGTGGAACGGCATAATTCCGAGCAGCGGGTAAAGATCCATTAGAAGTGACTCCAGAGCAACTCGGAAGTAGCCTGGATATTCTCCTTCTTCGACCTGACTTCCATGATCAAACGATAAATCCAATACATACACCCACGGCAGGTCGGTTGCCATAGAGTCCATGGCAACTGAATCGACAACTAGACACACACCGGTGTCAAGTCCCGGGACGATACCGTTGGACTCCTTGTACTCATAGTATTCCCTATGGCGAGAATTAGTAAAAAGCCATCATACGACCTCCTGAGCCTCCGCCGTAAGGATAGGAATATGATCTTACTGCTGGATCCGTTTATGTGTGGCGCCTTGTAAATCCTTGTCTTCGTAGCTTGGCATAAAGCATTTGTCTTCGACTTTCTTCCACCCGCGGATTTTCTTGGTCATGGTTTCCTCTATGCGCTCGTAGTCTTTCTCCCACTGCTCCCAGCGTTGTTGATCAGAGTAATCGGTTCGAAACCTGATATATCCAAAGTCATCGTATCCTTCCCTTTCTACTACCTGCACAACGAAGTCGACACTCTCTTCAAAAAGTGGCACCCCCGGACAAGGTGGTAGGCCCCGCTCCACGCGGAGTTTCCGTCGATGTTCGTTGTGAATTGCACGGCCGATCACTATTCGGACTTGAACATTCTCGACAGGAATTAAACTCTTATCAATCTGACGGAGTTCCTAGACGATCCAATGGATTAGCGATCTGTATTAAAAGGAGAGATAATTTCTTGTTTTAGTGGAAGAAATCTCAAACATCCGGCTAGATCACCCACTTCTTCTGGTATCTCGCGTATATTATCAACAGTTGCAGTTTGAAGTCGCTCCAGGGTCCATCCTGGCGGTGCATAAGACATTTCCGGGGCTGAGAATTGCAGATGTTTCAGAAAATAAAGCTCATAGATTGAAAGAAAAAAACGTCTGTACAACATAGGAAAGAGTGTGGGAAAGGGAAGTCAAGAAGAAATGAATAGTTGGAAGCAGTCACGGGTCATGAAAGCTTAGTTCCAAGGTTCTGTCAAAGACCCTGGACTGGAGCCTGGGCTGGAGCCTATGCTAGTGCCGGGGAAGGATATCCTAAGCCCAAAAGGCAAAGATGTATTTTAAGCTTCTCCGCCCCACTTCCGAGCCGAGGCATCGGGAGGACCGTGCGATTTCCAATAAAGCCGGCGGTGTGCAGTAAATACCCGGCGGTGACTACAGGCAACTGGCAGTAATAATAGCCGCACTCCGTTCCTTCCCTTTCGAGCTCACAAGCATGGATATATCTCAGATCTCCAAGCAGCTTTTACCAGCGCCGAAGAGATTCCCAGACTGCTGCTTGGCCATATCCAGCACTTTGATCACCTACCTTGCTTCGCTCCTTCCAAAAAAGCCTAAATTCACTATCTCAATCGGCAGCGGATCTGGTCTCCTCGAAGGTCTCATTGTGCATTACGACAGGAATGTGTCAGTGGAGGGTGTTGAGGTGGATTCCACTATTAATCGGTATATCGCCGAAGAAGATATGAATGTCGTTGGCGGAGGGTGGGGTCTCTGGTCTGCCGCCCAACAGGCTGCGGCCTGGACGTTTGTCTACCCACGCGACCCAAAACTCATCACCAAATACATTGATACTTATGGTGGTCGAAATGTGGATTTTATTGTCTGGCTTGGGCCTCGAGTCGATTGGCCTGACTATGAGACGCGTTTTTGTCAATCTCCATTCTCGGAGTTGAGTTTTCCAGATCATATCGGATTAACACCATATGAGACTGTGGTGGTTGCTAGAAGGCCATGTTGATATGAACTCTGCATTTTGACTTTGGAAAATTATGTTGTACGACTAGTAGTGCATTGGAGGGCTTTCTGTTTTGTAATTTAGTCATGGTCCCTTTGACCCTTTTGTCTTCATAGATTATTACTATCACGATGTCATCCCTGGTGATTCATAAAGACCATATTTGCTTGCTTCATTTCTTACAGAACATTATCAGAGTAAATCATCATAGACTATTGCCTTCCAGTCTCACATAGTAATTCATACATTAAATACAAAGCCCGTGGCTAAGCTCAAAGCGCATACCTGAAATGTTTGGACTCCATATCCGTCAAGTCCTTGAATCCATCCAAGATGGCCTGAGAGGTGATATCCTCCGGGGTCTCATCACTACCACCCGCAACCGCTGCAGCATCTCTCCTTCTATTCTCCATTTTCATCGATATATATACCGCACATGCTAGAACAATGATACCCGCATAGCAAATGAGCAGGCCCAGCAGACCCGAGTAATAGCGCGGGGCCTCGTCGGCGAAGAAGATGTTCGCTCCGGCGACATTGCCAGCCGCATATAGGGAAAACCAAAGCCCATTGGCGACCGCGCGCTTGGTGTGGCCGGCCACATTGGTGGCAAGTAGGTTCCACGAGATAATAACGGGGGCACCAATAATGTACTGCAGCCAGGTGCATCCGACTAAAGTCCAACGGTGGTCAAGGCTGGTAAAGCGGATACCTAGAAGGCCACCGAAGGGGATCAGAGAAACGACTGCAAGCACGATGCAGCGGGAATCTTTAACGTAGGTGGCGACGATACCGCAGATGGGAACGACTACAGCTTCAATCGCACCGGTGGGTAGTTGGAGGAGTGTAGTGTAGATCCCGCTGAAGCCATAGCCCTTGATCAAGGCTGATGCGAAATTTGATGAGCCGCCGTTGATAACACCGCAGGCAATGCCGACTCCGGCGCAGCAGAGGACTCTGAAATCGTAGAGAATCTCCAGCGCCTGGCGTGGTTTGATCTCTCGGGTCTTCACGCCGATCATGTTTTCGGCGACGCGCTGCACGGCAATCACGCGCTGTCGGTGGGTCAGGAAGCGGGCAGAGCTGGGCGAGTCGGGCATGAGCCAGAGGAAGATACAGGCAGTGAGGAAGTTGAGTAGTCCGATGGTCAAGAAGATCAACTGCCAGCTACGGAGCGCGGTGTTGTGTGAATGGCCGAGGCCGAATCCTAGTAGGGCTCCTACCATCGTGGCCATGCCGTTTGCACTGAGCCAGACAGCCATGCGCAATGGCTGTTCGGAGCGCTTGTAGAACATTGATGTCAGGTTCATCACTAGACAGCACAATGTTAGTCCTTTTCGTGTCTTTGGTTCGTGCCGTGGGCTACTCACTGCACGGACTGACTCCGGCTTCTGCCATTCCCAGGAGGAATCTTAGCACCAGGATTCCTCCGTAGTTCTTCGCTCCGACGTGGGCAATAACGAGCACACTCCAGATCAGAAGCATACCGCCCATATATTTTGCGATTGGCAAACGTTGGATTAGGAGGTTGGCTGGCAGGGCCCAGAAGAGATAACCGAAATTGAAAATCGCCGCAACCCATGAATATCGTTGGCCTTCAAGACCGAGATCTGGGATCAAAGAGTATGCGGATGCATAATTAAGTGATAATTTGTCTATACAGCACGTTAGTTATAGAATTAACAATAGGGGAATGTTCTTGCATACCGAGGAATTGAATAACATAGGTCAGGTAGAGCTAAAACACGACTAACTGTCAGAAACAACATCAAAATATTATATCACAGTCATAACTCACCACCGGCATAACCCTCCAGTCGAGAATCCTCAGCACCTCGGCGCCCTCAGTCTCCAGTTCCTCGGCAGTCAGCTGCTCTGCCTCCAGATACAGATTCGCTCCGATATCATGAGTCTCGCCGAGTGCCACATGTGTGACATCCTTCTCCGCAGTGGAGTGGTCCTCCTTTGTGTCGTTGGGGTTCATTGTAAGTGGCGGGGGTCAAGTTGAACAGAACTGAGCCGTATATCAACGTCCAGCACTCTATTATATACCCCGCGTACTTTTTCGGCCATAACTTGCTATCAACGCCAAGCAGATAAGCATGTTCTTTCTTTATCTACAAAGTTATCTTTGGTCAGGTCGATCGTTGGAGATAGGAAGATGAGCGGCCAATAGTCCGCATATAAAGTGTGGGGTAAGCGGACTATTCTCCGCTGTACGGGGTCATATACTTCGTCCTGTCTAGATCACTCGAAGGCATATCACTCGCATTTCAAACTTTCAAAGCACTCCTCGGCATGGCTCACCAATCCCAAGACTTATCGCTCCTGGACGCCAGTATCTCGGAGCTCCAATCCGCACTTTCTTCAGGATTGCTCTCTAGTGTGGGCTTAGTATCACGATACCTACAACGAATCAGCGTCTATGATGCAAGCAATCTAAAGCTTACTGCCATTCCGCTCCTAAACCCAGCCGCCCTCGATGAAGCAGCCGCGTCCGATGCTTGGCGTGCAGCTGGTCTGCCGCCGCGACCGTTGGAGGGTATCCCCTTCCTCGCAAAAGACAGCATTAAAGTGAAGGGCATGACCGTGGCGAGCGGCTCACCTGCATTTGAAACCCTCGTTGCCAACGAAGATGCTGCCTGTATCCAACTCCTCCGCGAGGCCGGCGCCGTGCTTCTCGGTCGGACGAACATGCCCGCCATGGCGTACGGTGGTATGCAACGTGGGTGTTATGGGCGCGCTGAAAGCCCGTATAATACAGCATACCTGGCTGCGGCGTATGCATCCGGTTCATCGAATGGATCGGCGGTCGCGACGGCGGCCAACTTTTGTGCTTTTTCTCTAGGCAGCGAGACTGTTTCTTCGGGTCGCTCGCCGGCGTCAAATAATGCCGTTGTTGCATACACGCCTTCGAAAGGCCTTCTTCCTCTCCGTGGTGTCTGGCCACTCTACTTGACTTGTGATGTCCTAGTACCGCACACCAGGACTATGGCAGATATGTTCCACATCCTAGATGTTCTAGCCGTGTCCGACAAAGCGCCGACGGGGGATTTCTACCAGGAACAAAAACTCATCTCCCTCCCTTCGATCGATACACTCCGACCACAGTCCTTTTTAGAATTGCAAGACGGCACATCCTTGCGCGGGAAGCGGATCGGTGTACCGTCAATGTACATCGGAGGCGATAACTATTCTCTATCCCCAGCCAGCAGAGTCAACACCCGGCCCTCCATAATCAAGCTATGGAAAAACGCCAGAAAGGCCCTCGAGTCCTGCGGCGCGGAGGTAATCGAAACGGACTTCCCAATTGTGACAACCTACGAATCAAACGCAGACAAGGGCCAGCTCGTCACCGTCGCACGACTACCAGAAGGATGGTCCGCGCTGGAGCGGAGCGAGCTCGTCGCACATATCTGGGATGACTTCCTGATCAACAACGGCCAAAAGGGTCTCGATAGTCTTTCCAAGGTCGATCCAACGACTATCTTCCCGCTTGCACCAGGGTCTCTGAAGGGTGCACCCGATGCGACCAATGCGCTGCGATGGGACGAGATGGTTCAATACCCGCACCGGAGGCCGGCGTCTGTGTTTGAGATCCCCGGTATTAAGCAGGGAATCCAGGCTCTTGAGAATGCGCGCAAGGAGACTTTTGAGGACTGGATGGACAGGCTTGGGCTTGACGCTGTTGTTTTCCCAGCTAATGGCGATCTCGGAGCCGCTGATGCGGACTGCGATGAGACGGCTTCGCTGTTTGCGTGGAGTAATGGCGTCAAGTACTCGAACGGGAACAGGCCTATTCGTCACCTCGGTGTCCCCACTATCTCCGTTCCTATGGGTCTCATGGAAGATACGGGGATGCCGGTGAACCTTACCTTCGCTGGAAAGGCATACGATGATAACAGTCTGCTCAAGTATGGCTTTGCTTTTGAGATGGCGATGAAGGGCCGTGTTAAGCCACCGCTTGTGCCTGCTCTTGACTCTGATCTCATCAAGGGTGGTCAATATCCTCGGCCATGGGCTTCTCGATCTACCGTTGAGTTGGTAGTTGAGACTCAAGTGAAGAAGATTCAGGACTCCACCGTTGTGGTTCAAATCCAGGGATCAGTGGTATCCAAGGACTCTCAACTGGAGACTATGGAATGCCGTATCAACGGTCAAGTGTTCAAGCCAGCCATAGAGGGCGATAGATGGTTTATCATAGCTTCCTATCCCGCCTCGGAACGTGATCAACCCTGGAAGAGGTGGTCGAGTCCTGCTTTGACACAGACTATCGTAGTCATCACAGCTCATACAAAGGATGGCTCGACAACGGGCAAGTTAATCCTACTATGAAGACTTTAGTGTCGTCAAGAAATGTAACTCTTCTTTCCATTACTCCATTATATAGACCTCCTGAAATAAATTACAAAGCGCTCACATTTACGACATCTCTATAATCTTCCTCTAACATGTCCTGATGTATACTCCTCCCATATATCATATCTTCAATCATCCCCAAGACAGCTCGGTGTAGATAACTCTTCCTCAACTGCTCCAAGTGCAATTCAGCCACTTCCAGTGGTATCGCAGCACTAGAATTAGTTTCAAATGTGCCAGCATCCCACATGATCTTCTGTCGTACGAACTCAAGCACTTTCATATACGGCGTTGCGTCCTTCCACCGGTCGACAAAGCCAGCTAGATTGACTGCACATGTAGCAATGGCCTGCTGGTTGTTCTCTCTGATACGCTGTTGATCCCGAATATCAGTGATAGGGGTTGTCGCCCAGACAATGTAAAGCATCATGATTCCCGCTCGAAATTGGAATACAAGCTAATGATGAATTGATGGTTAGTCAAAATCACTTCGGGTGTACCTCGATCGGAAGAAAAAGCAGAATTTCGACACATACTGCAGACCAGGTAAAGCACATCACATGTCCTTCTTCTTGCAGCAGCCGGAAATTGAGACAGACCTCCGCTATCGTCGCGAGAATTTCCTCTATTCCGTCCATCTCGAT